TTCTTTCTGTTCTTTCCTTCGATACCGTCCTTTTTGTGCCACTAAAATATAGCACGCGCACCTATGAGAGAAACATTTGCTTGTGCCAATCTTCTATTCAAAGGGTATGGCAATTTGCCGCCGGGAGGGTTTCTAAAAAAGAGGGTCAGGTAGAAACAATTCCGGGCACAACGTTGGTGAAAACCGAAAGAGGCCAAACCCCGAGCCACCTCAAATAGAAGATGCAAAAAAGGCAAATAAGAGGAAGAGAAGGGAAGGCAAAGGAGAAAGGGGAGGGAAAGGGGGAAAGAGGAAGGCAGGGGCAAAGAGACAGAAAGGAAGAGAGAATTTGAGAAAGGAAGGGGGAAGGAGGTAAACGAAAGGAAGGCAAAGGTAAAGGGAAGGAAGGAAAGGCAAAAACAGAAGGAAGGCATCAGAGCGGCTAGGGAGTTTTCCCAGCTGCCAGAGCAATACTTGAGCATCCACGGTAAATGACCGCAGGTGTATTTATGTTGCCTTTTTTCCGCGAAGGAGGGAAAGAGAGCGATAAATAGTGAGAGAGCAAGGGAAAAAGAGCGGGCGGTTCAAGCGTATTTTGTCAAAAATATACGGTCTTGGAAATTTCGAAACCCTGTTGGTGAGCGAGCGCGTTTATCAACCCGTTATGTGGCCTATTTCTTCTATTTGTTCCGGAAGCCTGCGGGAAGAATATGCAGCCCTTTTCGTGAAAATCTTCTATAATGGTTTCATGCTTTGCCAGCGCGTGAAGTTGCCCAAAATAGGAAAGCGGAGGTGGGAAAGTGGTTGCTTCGTGCTCAGAGCTTGGCAGGGGAAGAGCGCAAACGCAAGGATCATTTTCCAAATCCTGAAAAAGAAGAAACTGGCTCTTTGCCGAGATTTTTGCGAGCGGTGGCAGTTTGGATTTGACATTCGTAGACAACTTTTGCAAAGGACTGGATCTTATGGGCCTAATCCCCAGTAACCCTTTGTTCCCGGACAAACCAGCCACTGCCACATTGACCCTGACCAGGTGCGAGACACTAGCAGTGCCACCAGACTGGGGGCGATGATGATGATGATGATGATGATGATGATCGTGATGATGACGGTGACAACCTCAACACCAACACCACCCGCACAGGCGAACGGCGTATCGAAGTGATCGCCCACTGTGGAACGGATCGCAGTTAGCAATCGACACCACCTTGGTGTCCCCGCACACAGCTTCAGCACAACCCCGTCGCCACCAACGCAGAACCCCGCAGCCGCGCCAGACGGGCTAAGTGCACTGAATTGGAAGGCGGTGGAAGAGCCCGCCCTGTGGTTGTTGGCCTGGAAACTGCGTGCGTTTGCACTTAGGGCTGTAGACAAACAGGTGAAGGTTGGAAACTCTACAGGTAACAGTTTCACAGTCACACTTGATTTTCACTCTTTTTAGGAACGCAGTAACTCCAGACGTGTTACTCTGCAGCTTTTCAGGTTCCCAGTTCAAAAGTGAGCCGAATACCACCCCGTGTTGTAACGCCGCGCGCATGGTAGCGCGGAGCTCTTGAACACAAGGGCCTGCAACAACGGTGGAGTGCCAAGGTCGACCTTGGCCACCCCCGGCACCACCTGCCAAGGCGGAGGCGACAAGAGCAGCAAGAGCAAAACCAGCAAGCATCCTTCCGAAAGGAGGCTTCCCAGGATCAACCCTTCCAAAGGATTGACCGCAACCACCTGAAACGAAAAGGAAACGGCAGCAAGCGTCGCCGACGCCCAGTTGACCCCCGAACTGGTCGCTAGAAGCGGGCCAAAAAGCGTTCTGAGCAAGGAGTGCGTAAGCGAGAGCTAAAGAAAGAGCTGCGCAAGCGCATTGTTGGCCCACGGGACGAAGCAAGCAACCAACAAGCAAGGCAAAGTTTTTCGAAGGACGAGCCCCCCCCAGACGGTCTGGTGCACAAGGACGCCAACTTTGAAGATCATCCCGCACACCACACCAAATCCCCAAATGAAACCTCGGACTCGGAAGCCTCCGGTTCAGAAACTGTGGAGAGTTCCTCGTCCATCTCTGTGATTCCTCCGGCCTCGCGCCGTGGAGAGCGAAAGGCTTGAGCCAAGTGCCTTGCCAGCAAAACTAGTGTTGTTTGTTGACGTGTTGTAGAAGCAATGTCACAAGAACAACATGAACAACAGTTACAAAGGTTAACCGACCAAGTCCAGACGTTGACAGCCGAACTAGCCACCCAAAGGTTAGATTCAGATGCTGCTAAAAATGCGTTGGAGCAACAAACCCAGACACTGTGGAAACTCAATTTCGCCACTGCCGCTGACGCATTGCGAGTGTGTATCCTTCACTCATTGGCCGGTCAACCTGCAAAACCGTTGACAACACTTTCCTCAGGCACCGCCTTGGAGTGATGGTGTGCGATCACATGCGCAATGGACTCAGGCGCAGGCCTTTCAGGTTCCCAGTTAAAAAGTGAGCCCAAGACCACCCTGTGCCGCAACCCCGCGCGCAGAAACCGGCGATGGAGCTGGGAAGCTGCTGCATTCATTGAGTCACTTGCCCGGCACGAAACCTTAGCCTAAGCGCTACCAGCCATCCTTCCCTCTGCCGCTCACCGTGCTTGGATTTCCCAGTGGGCGGCCCACCTTTCCATGGCTGCGATACGAGCGTGCTTCCACCAACCCAGAACATCACCTTGTGAAACCTGGACCCCCTTCTACCAGCCTCCTTTCCTCCCCACCCCGGCCACCAGTACCCTTGGGCTGTGCACCATTGGAAACAAGTCAGTATAAAAACCGTCTTGCCTTGAGCGCAACTGGAAGCTGGCAGTGTAAAAAACAACTCCAACTCAGACTGCTTGCAAAGAAAAAGGTGCGAGGAACAAATTATGGTACGAGCGCCCCCCTGTCAAAACACGTTAGATGAGGTTAGTACAGTTTGGTTGAAAGACTCACCCTGAGGCAAAATTTCTTTGATGGCGAAGGCAGGGAAACCAAGAAGGTAAGACCAATTGATGATTTGTCCGGGTCGTTGGTTTCCTTGACAATCAGTTGGGAGAAAAAAACATTTTGCCCCATGAGGGTTGACAGGGCACATGCTCGTTGTAGACCATGCCCGATTTTTTGCTACGTGACTACTGTAGACCTTGTGTAGTGGAGCTTGAAAAATTGTGGCTCGGAAAATTTTGAGCGATATGACGAAAAACAATTGATTGGAATACGAACAGAAAAACAATTGATTGGAATATGAACAGAAGTGCATATCGCGAAACATGGGAATGCTTATATAAATTTTGTGAAGTTAGATTTTCGGAATGAAGCCTGCTCAAGGAGGCATAGCTAGTGGTTGTGATTCACCAATGCGCGGAGTACGGGTGAACGAGTGGATTCATCGGAGATGACCTAGGTTTTCGTTTTAAACTGCGGCGAGGGTTCACCCAATCTTACACTCATGTAGTTGAATGTTCCCTCCTCGCAACCATTTGCAACCATGTGAGGAGAGTTTTTGCACAGTTTTTCTCACTTTTTGCTTTGAACTCGAAATGGGCTGGGTGGGCCATGTCCAGACCGCTGGTTTCCAAGGGCGCAAGGAAAGCCGGGAGACCGGCGGGTTCCAAGATCTCATTCCATTGGGGTGGGGCCCGATGCGGCAAAAAGGCGGACCAATCACACAGCATGGATAGCAAAGAGCCCGTGCTGTGGCCTGAGCAAGAAGGCGGAGGAAGGTGTCCATTTCGGTACTGAAACGCATGGCACGGACGACTAGGCGGCACCGATCTGAGCAGTGGAGCATCTCAAGCCTTCCAGACCTTGGTCCTCCCTCTTGTGGCCAGGGCATCGGTCATGGGTTTTTCGAGAACATCGTACCGCCATTTGGCTGCTAGGGTGAGCCCTATTTTGGCTTCATTGGACGGTTTACTTTGTTGACTTCATTGTGGCTGCGGCTCCCGAAGGAGGGAAGCACCTTGAACTGATGCATTATGAACTTTGAACCAGTCGCCAGAGCTTTGGCGGTTATGAATGACCTCGGTGAATATCATTTGGGGTTAGTGAGACTGGCCAAAATTGAGGCCCGAAAAAAAAAGTTTTCGGAACAAATCCATCCCCTGGTAACCAGAGGCAGGTTGAAAGGCCGCCTTCAACTCGCGGAGTTTCAGGCGCTTGGCAAACCAGCCATGCAGCACCCCTGAAAGTGTTTTGGCCGAAGTCTTGGGTAATAAGCAGTTAGATCCCACGATTTGGAGTCTACAATGCAACCGCCCAAGGGTCCCTGCAAGTAATTGACGGTATCCAGGAGGTTGGTATGCAGCAGGACGTAACACGGTTCGCTGGCACTTAGCAGATCATGTCGATGATGCTGTTTTCATGGAAATTTTATTAATTTGTGAATCCGAACGAGCGCACCAATGGAGAGGCCACTCCTTTCATTGTAGGTGCCCCATCGGCAGGCCGCATCGAAACTTGAACCTGGCAAGACGTGCCAAGAGGAAGGGGCCATGTTCGAATTGGATGTAAGACCACCAGAGGGCAAATCATGTCAGTCGACTCGGCATTAGGGCATGGATGCGACCGACCAATTTGGGCCCAAGTTTCATTTGTGGAAAACGGTCGCGCGTTTCGCTTGTCATAACATGTCTATCTCACATATGTTTTTCCACCAGTGTTGACCCAAGCAGAAAACTGCATTCAACAACGATTTGTGCTGTGCCGTTTGGGATGGGAGGGGCGTTGCTACTTGAAAACTGTAACCTAACTCACCATCCCCGGACTTTAACATGTGCTGCAGGCAGTTGATGTGGCTCGATGGGCTTACATGGCATGGCGTAGGTCAAAACAAATCGAGCACCAACAGTTGTCACCTATGCAAGTGTGAATGTCAAAGGCATTGACTATGACAAGACGATTGCCGGATGCGATGGCGATGTAGTTCTTGCGTGCCCCTTTTCGACTCAATTGCACCACAGTTGTGTGTGGGGACCAGGGGTTTTCAAAATCCATCAACGTTGCTTGCCCGTGCGGATTAGACGGAGGCAATGGCGGATGACGAAGAGAGGTCCTTGTGTTTTCCTTTTCATGCTTTTCGGACGGCCGTCCTGTAAGACACAATGGCTGTGCGTTGGACATTTCTGCTGAGGCAGCGATGGTGGTTGTCCGTCATGCAACAGGCGGTAGCTTGCTTCTCAGACCTGCAAAAAGTTGATTTTTGTGTCCGAATTCGATCCGGGCACCCAGGCCAGCCAAGGGTATTCTGAGGATGAAAGCTCAGCAGTGCTTCAACGGGGTAGGCGGGTGAATGGTTGACATTTTTCTCCAGTGGAAAAAACACTTAATGACATACCACTGCTTGTCGTAGTTTGTGCACTTCCTTAGAATCCCTTTGCTCAATGTTGTGTGCCATCCTGGTCCAGGATGGCTGCTCGCAGGCGTCAGGGGGATGGTGAGAGCTATGGCATGTCAACTCCCAGTCGCGGCATGTCACCATCCAGCCCGTCGCTGCGCAGCATGAAGCAATTATGCGACGCCTTGCAAACTGAAAGAGATCAATTGCAACAGAGTGTGGTGGATCTCGAGACCAAACTCACTGACCTGGAAGGGAGCCGCTTTGAACCTCCAGAACTTGAAGAACTGCAAATATACTGCAGCACTTTGGAGTCTCAAAAACGCACCTTGGAACAGGAACTGGCAAAGTCCCGTTCAGAAACAGCACCACTTGAAGGAACTGAACAATCAGTTGATTCCATCGAGGGCCTGACCGCAGAGAATGCAAGGCTGCAAGGGGACTTGTCTGAAGAAAGGCGTGGACATTTGAGGACACAGGAAGAGCTGCAAGTGGGCCAAGATCGAATCAAAGAATTGGAGGAACAGC